TGTGAGGAAAGGTTCCATCCCAAACAGAAAGATCCGCCTCCCCGTTGCGTAAGCGTCGCTCCGATACCTCTGAGCTCAACTGTCAGCTTAAATCTCCCGCAACGGCTTCTTAACCTGCAAAGGCAAAATCAAAGCCACTTGCACGGCAGGCATCCTTCTAAGATTCCCACTGAAGGATTTTCGCAAAATCCTCGAATATTCTACCCTGTCGTTCCATTTGTGAAGCCGAGTCCCTTTTTTGGGAGGATTTCGTTCACACGGTTACAGTTCATGATCAGGTTAGCCAAAAAAAGCTGCCTTGAGGAAGAACGGTTATCCCCGGGCTCTTATCGATCATTTTTGACGATAGTCGGCGTCTCTCCGGTGTGCTGAGGGAAATGCTGAGCGAAAAGACGAAGAAAGCAGACAAAGGTGGCAGATGGAAAAAGCATCGGGTAATTAGAATCACATTTTCCAGTGAGGAAAATGAATTCGCCAAATCGCGGTTTTGACATTTTGGGGACGATCGTTTTTCCATCCTCAATTTTCCATTCTAACTGGTCTTCGTTTGTCCACTTCTCCCCTGCAGTTTTCCTCTGCCTGCTGGTGGCGCTGCTCCAGCCGGCTTGTCCCTGCCCCCCGCCCTGTCTCTGCTCCTCGGACGGCCTGCTGGTGGACTGCGGGGGCCGCGGCCTTTCCTCACCGCCCACCCTGCACCTCCTGCCGGCGGGGAGTCGCTCCCTCCTTCTGGCCAACAACAAACTGGCCACGCTGGGCGTGTCGGACTTTGTTAACCACTCCTCTCTGGAGGTCAGCGCGATTGTCGTACGCTTTTCTTCCGATATGAATTTACGTCGCGTGTGTGAGCGTAGCACAATACGCTGATCCTGAAATATTGAGGCGAGGTCAAACTCGGGGGCACGTCTGATGTCGTTGCATCACATTGGCGTCTTTCAGGAGCTGGACCTCTCAAACAACTACCTGGACAATTTGCCGGCCGGATTATTCCGCGACATGAGCAATCTGAGCAAACTGAGCCTGCGCAACAACTCTCTGACAGGAATGGACAGAGATCTCTTTCAGGTCAGTACACCCCAACAAAATAGCCCCATTAAGTTTTGGAGTTGACGATTCGCTCCTGCATTTCGATTTGATTCAAACTGAATGAATCGAGAGCGGAGTGCGACTTTCCTTGGGAAGGACAAATCCATCATCAATCGACAGTTGACATTTGCCATCCGCGGAAGCAACAATCGCTGATCCGAGACTGGACTGCCGGAGTAAATCTGCTGGTCCTGTTGTTGTTGTTGTTGTTACAGGGTTTGGGGGGTCTCCAGAGTCTCGATCTTTCACTCAACGGCCTGGCGTCGGTTCCTTTGGGGCTCTTGGATGAGCTACAGGGTCTCAGGTAAACAAAACATCCGCGACAAAGGCACAGCGGTTACTTCCTGTTGATTGGTTCTAAAAAAAATGTCCTCGTTTAGGTGGCTGTCCCTGGCCGGTAATCGGCTTCACGGCTTGGAGAGGGCGGCGTTCGAGCCCCTCGGCGAAGGTCGCCATGGCGGCGTCGCCGCCTCCCGTGGATCGCGTTTCGTTCATGTCCGCGCGTTGTAATCAGCGCAGCTGTGCTCTCTCCTCATGCGTGAAAATCTGCATTCACCTCAGTGCCTCAAGGCCTCGGCTTGCGCCGCTAATGAAGCGACACCTCCTCTCCGCTCCATTATCCTCGCTGCTCCCGTCCGGCCCGTCTCACGGCCGAGATTGAGCGCCAACTGCTCGCGAATAACTCCGCAATCTGTTCTCGTCGAATCCGACGCAACCCCCCGCTGGGGTGTTTGGAGACAGAAACTGCTCTTGGGAGAATGTTTGGTCACAGAGCCTCGTCGAGTCAGTGGCCTCCTGGATGAGATGGAATCATGTTTGTCTGTCACCTAAAATTGTCATCTTGCCGTGGAAAATTAGTCACCCGGAGTTTTCTCTTCTCGTGAATCATCTAGGGGAAGAGCTCACTCGAGTCTATCTCCAAGTTCGCGTCGAGGGCGCAGGCAAACGGTGTGACTCATTCCGGTGTCGCTCTACCAAGCCCCCTTTCGCCCTCGCTTGCTGTCTCGTCCTCTTAGTCTCAATTAACGGGCCTCACAGGCACGAGGCGCTTCCTGAACGACCCCTCCTCTTGTCCCCCCCCCCGTCGCTTTCTCTCCTTCAGGCGGAAAGGTGGATGCGGTGGAGTGCACGCTACCCAAAGATCTGCGGGGGCGAGACATCCGCGGCGTTCCCGTGGAAATGTTCAACTATTGCCTCCAGCTGGAAGACGAGAACGGCGGAGGGGGAGGCGGAGGCGGAGGCGACGGATCCCGAGGAGGTCCTCCCTGCGGCAGGGGCGCCCCCAACCCCAGCGGGGCGCCGTCGATTTCCGGCGCCGATGACTCCTCTTCGCACACGGGAGGGGGCGGGGCCGGCGGCGGAGAGGCCCCGGCGGATTGCGTGCGCGCGCGCTACCGGCCCGTGAGCGTGCGACGGGCCATCGGCACGGTGGTGATCGCCGGCGTGGTGTGCGGGATCGTCTGCATCATGATGGTGGCGGCGGCCGCGTACGGCTGCATCTACGCCTCGCTGATGGCCAAGTACCAGCGAGAGCTGAAGAAGAGGCAGCCGCTCATGGGAGACAGCGAGGCGGACGCGGACGATCGGGAGGAGAAACAGATCTCCTCGGTGGCGTAGAGGGGCCGCCGACATGAAGGGGGTTTGTTTGGCAAAAAAAGGGCTCAAAAGAGGAGAACGGGTTTGAAAAGGATCAGCAACGAACGCCACCTTGGACTCTCCAAACGTCACCAATCCGTCTCCTTTTACTTCTTTCAAAGCCTTCCTCCCTACATTTATTTTTCTAGCCCTTCATCTCGCCTACTAACCACCTACCGATGCTGAACTTCGCACCAGAGAGAACAAGCTTTCATCTCATCCGCAGCACTCATCCAAGAGTTCGCCGGTGGAATCTTCAGGGAGTCTTTCAAGTGCGGTCTTGATCGGACCAATGCTCACATACAGTACAAGATGCGCTACGGAGCTCGAGAGGTCGAATTTCAAGACCCGGAAAACCTGACCCCCTGTCCCAGAGAAAGACTTTGGAGTCATCTCGTTCGCCGACGCTTGCGCGACGTCGTCTCAGAACAAAAAACACCGGGACCAGATTTCAGAACTTCCCAGCACTTTATCGCCCGAATCGGTTACCCGCCAAGGTTCCCCTTTTTCCTCCCCGTCTTTCTAAAACGATCTTTCCCGGAGGGATTAGAGCCAACAAGGGATTAAACAAAAATCAAAAAAAAAAAAAGATGCTGCTATTTTTTGCCACCCTCTCCCAACTCTTTATCTCTCCATTTATCTTTCCGTCCACTTGCTATAAATGGAAAGTCCTCCTGAAAGATTTCCACCTCCTTTTCTTTCCTCGCATCCACCGACAAATTCGCCTTACGGCCGAAAGAGAATTTGATTTGCATTCTGACTGAGTAAAATCTGATTTTATTGCATATTGCCCCAAGTGTAAATTGGCGTGTTATGATGCAGACACATTTGAACAACAGCGGTTACTACAGCGGTTACTACAGTGGACATCTTATCATGTGATTGGGTTCCAGGGTGCACGAAAATATTACAAATTCACAATGTTCGTTGTGTTTAGAACGCTTGTTCGGTTTCGTTTGGAGTATCGCTGTAATGTTTTGCTCATTAGTCGTGTTCATTTAATCGTGTCGAGTCAAGTTTCCATGAAAGACGAGAGTTTGGCCTACGTGTGGAATAGTGCAAAAGTCCTTGTGGGGTTGGGGGGTGGGGGGGTTCTCACCAAAACCACATCAACGTGAGGCTAAACTCTTTTCTGTCAACGTCGAAACTTTACACGTCCCCCCCCCCAACCCGCGGGTCTCGTGCTGTTGGTAGCTAACGATCTTAGCTAGCTGAATCCTGTTCTTATAACCCGCGTGTGTACAGAATAATAAAATATAGTTTGATACATATACTGTAACGTCACAACTGGAGGGGTTGGGGATCAGGGGGGGGACCTCAAGACTGGCCAGCCTCAAGACTGGCCAGCATTTGGCGGTGTGATGTGCGTTATGACGATGACAGTATGCATTGATGGAAATAAAAACATATCACACTCTATTACAAGGCGTGACGAGAGCAGCACTGTGTCTATTTACGGTCTGTTGGAGCACGCGCGCACGCACGCGCACGCACACGATTTCCAGCAGAGGGTCAAAGAATCTAATCAAATAAGATGGAGTGAACACACCACAGGGGCAAAGCAGAGGATGAATCAGTGGCTCTGTGTGCGTACTAATCCTTATCTTGTTCTTCACGCCTCAATCCCTTCGAACACCCCCCGCCTCCCCCCTTCTCATCAACTCTGTCCTTCTCATCTCCTCTCGCGCTTATCTGGTGTCCATTTATCTTCCTGACACATCTTTTCTCATCGCACGGAGCGTTTTTCACCTTGCTTTTTCTCCCATCCTGGGACGCCCTTTTTTTGGCTAACCTTCATTGTCATCTGTCACCGCTCTTTTCCCGGTGGCGCGGTGACAGATAGTTCAGATAGATACATGAATAGAGGTAGGGCAAATATGGGAATGGATGATCGGGGAGATTTCATGGCCGCAAGAACATGACAACAAACTCAAAATTGTACTCACGAGTCAGAACTAGATGTTTGTATCTAGACAAACACCGCTCTCTAGTGGTTAGAGGTGGTATTGCAACTAAGAACGGAAACGTGACTGGGGCGGACTTTTAACCGCCTGGCGATGTTGCCACAATTCCCTTGAAAAAGTAGCTTAGTTACTGATGACGTGCTTTAAAAAGTAACTGTCACTTTACTGATGACTTTTTTTTTTTTTTAAAGGAACTGAGGTCGATTACGCGTTCATTTCATGAATAATTCATCCAGCCTCTAATAAATCAAACCGTGCGTTATCAACCTGGAGGTTGCCGAGGCACTTCATCATTCAAAAGAGGTGACGCCGCCCTACCTCCAGCGATGGCGGTCTTCTTGCCCACAGTCACAGTGGCGGCAGTGGTCGCGATCACGATCCTCCCGGCTAGAAGAGGAGTGGCACACGATGAGAGAGCGAAATTGTCAATCATGAGATCTAACACAAAAAAAAAAAAAAAAATCTAATAAACGGCACCCACGAAGCTCTTAAAGTGTCTCGTGTGTATTGGGTGTCCCTAATATTGTGGTTGGTGAGTGCAGGATCGATGCATTGCAAACTGCACATGCACACATGCACGACAGGTGGGTTGTTGAATTTCAAGGATGCTTACATGTGTCTGAGACGAAACGTCATTTTTTTTATATGTGTCAACCATTTCAGAATGACTAATAGAAGAGAGGAGTTCGGTATGTGCCCAATGGAGAAGAAACGAGAATTTGGGATGAAGAAACAGAAAAAGGATGCTGGTAAATGGTTGAGGACACCCAAGCGGCAGCATGCCAAGTAACAGTTTTCCTCTACCCTCCTCCTCCTCCTCCCCATGTACTCCCCCTCCCTGCTCCGCTTGCTGCATCGCCTCCTCTGCGCTCAAGGTGGCGCTATAGTCCGCCTCATAGTCCCTAAACACGTCTGAACACAACAAATTGGCATGTGACGACAGCCGGGTTCGAGACTCTCCTACATCAATGGGGGTTAAGGGTTAGTACGATGTGCTCAGAAGTGCATTTTAGAACGGTGACAAGTGCATTCAGAACGTGAATGATGGAAATCTACCTCTGGTCTCCTGTCGGGGCATGTAGTAGAGGAACTTTCCGGCAGGGTACTCGGCCGCCCTGCGGAACCACAGTGGGAAGTGGTCCAGGGTGAACATGTTCTCCTTGTCCGTGGATGTCAGGAACGACCTGGAAGTGGCGTGACAAAGAGAAATGGAGCCGCTCTTACTGTCCGCAAGGGGGTCATCTTGCACGTGTTGTATTATTTCTCACATGCCAACTCGCTTTTCGATGCCAGTGTAACGCTGGAATCTCATCAGGCCGGAGCGCGTGCCCAGGAAAGCCGTTTCGATGCCGTCATCCATACTGTGAGACATAAAGGCAAATTGGCACTCGTTTCGCTTTTAATCCAATGAACATTGAAGGCTGCGCTCGTAGGTGATTATTCACCCAGATGGGTTGAGCATGAGGGCAGTCCAGTAAGCTTCCATGGGAGCTGTCACCACGGCGTCAAACAAGGTTTGCTGTATGAGCTGCATGTCACCTGCAGAGGAATAAAAACGCAATTTGACTTCGTTCCCACAGTGCGTGCCGACACCGAGCAACCAAATCCAGACTAACACTCAAGATCCGGTTCTTTGCCTGTCAGGTACCGAACCACGGCCTGCAGCTGGCTCAGTTTACGATGCGCTGGGTCGATGTCGGTCTCACAGTAGGTCCTGCAAGGTTGTGGATGGTGTTCAAATTAGCAGTAGCAATTAAAAAAAAAAAAAAAAATCAGTCTGACTCACCATTCACTGGCTATGGTCAAATCGGGAGCCAGCAAATCATGAAGGCCTGGGGAAGAATGCAACATTGAGTATGAACTTGTGTCGAAACAGAGAGGAAGTACAGAAAAACAGACCCACCTTCTTCAACAGAGACATTTCCAATGAATATATACTGCCCATGTCCTCTTGTCAGCACTATACCAAGACTAACAGACAGGAAGACAAATACACACAAGTGAGTGCGAAACAAATGCTGAAATATTTAGAGAACTGCGCGCAAAAAAAAAAAACCTGAAAGGTGTCTCGTTGATGCTGGTGAAGAAGTAATCATTCTTGAGGAACATCACTCGTTTCTGTTGAGAGCCAGAACAAAAAAAAAAAGTGGTTGAGGACTACAGTGAATTGGCAAAGCCAATTAAGCGGGACGCAGCCCCGCCTAGTGGCGATATAGGTCAATGACAGCTTCATTGTACTCAACTCCCTTATCCACTGAGGTCCTCGAATCTAAGGACAAGGTACCGGTTTCTCCTTTGACCATGGCCGTCCTGAGCTGAAATATCAAAATTATGATGTAACCTGACAAGGAAGATGAAGAGTTTGCAATGTTTGAACGCGTGGGGCTCACCTTCTCCTCAGTGTCTTCCCATTCCACCTCGGACAAGTCGACGCTGTTGTAGTTGGGTTTGGGCTTCAGCTTTTTCCCTTCCTTGTACTGCCACATGCAAACGGATTGTTCAGTTGAACTGCTTTATAAGTCAATTAACGTTTGGGTGGTTCATTTTTTTTTTTTACCAGAGGACGGAGATCCGGATGAGACAAGATGTAGCCATTGTTTGTGATGAGGTAGGCATAACCGTGGACACCCAGCTGAAGAGATAAGATTGAGACAAATCAATCCAGTGTCATTGTTGAAATAAAAGAAGAAGCGTGTGTAAATGATGGCGATTTAACCTTGTATCTTGGAGCTAATCTCATCAATTCTTTCAGGGCCACGTCAGTTCCGACAACGCCAAGCAAAATTCCATGAGACAGCTACCAAAAAAAAAAATAGTCATAGTCACACATTTTAGCGTTTAATAAAGCTTTTACAAAGGATTAAAAAGTGGAAAGAACAATCCTTACCGTCTCTTTTTTCTTGCTGAAAACAGGCATTGCAACTGACGTCATCAGAAGCAAACTCTGGGCTTGACTGTTAAACAGCTGTGAAAGTGACAAAGATCAACTAAGCACGAGCTAAATTAAGAACCAATCCCTGGTAAGAAAATTCAAGGTTGACCGAAGTGAAAAAAAATAATAGCAATGTTAAATTTTGGGGTCTTTTGTGGCACTAAAACATCAGGAAAGAGTAAACTAAAAACAAGGTAGGTTGAGATGGACTAGCTAACCAAAGGGGGAGGTGCTACTACCCAAAAGGTCGTGCTATGCTAATGTACAATTTCACAATTAATACTGAAGCATGTTTGATTACCTCTTTAGTGGAAGGTAACTGGGGTGAAAACATTTGTGGGAAAATGGCGTTAAATGGCTTCTAAAAAATCTTTTGGAAAATTCCCCTTAGTCGTGACATTCGAAAGTGCTACTGCTAAAAAAATTAATAAAGTTATGACGTACCACGCTGTCCATGTAGGCTTCCGTCCAGATGATGTCATGGTCATGGTTGATGACCATTGGTCGGCTGAGAACGTGCAGATACTCCATGACGTTTTCTTGGACGTCAGCCAGTGTGGAAATATGTGTGTAATAGCCTGCAATGTTCACATTCAGGTGGAATATTTATTTTATTTTTTTATAGCGAGTGCTCTGTTTTGGTTTTGGCAACATGTTCCCTGTGTTCAATGCACTAATCAGACATCAGAACAAAAATAATCCCCGAAAGGCTGAGCTGTTCTTGGCTTATTCCAATGAAACACGATGACGTCAATTAGATACCTGCGGTGATGTTGCCAAGAGCTTGAGCTTTTTTTTTTATTTGTTTTGTTGGGTTATTTTGGAAGCACTGATAGCATCCAATGTTGACACAAACTGCCAGTAGGGAATAAAGTGATTATTTCCCGCTGCATAATCGCATGTAATCCACAAGAGGGCAGCAAAACGATCACTGCTTTCTCACCCCCAATTTTATACTCTCAAAATTTTAAGAATAAATTTGTCGTATTTGCAGACTATCATATTAAACATTGAGATTCAATAATGGGGAGTTATTACTGTCAGACAACAAACGATTAATCTCGATATTACATTATTACCTTTTCTGAGCGGCCTTAATAGAATTCACCTTTCGGATCATTCATTAATTTCCCCTTACCCTTATTATTGCAGGCAATCCATTTGACATTTTCCGCGAATGTCATTTCACGTCCGATGAGATATGTGAAGACTCGAACCTGTGTGAGTGACGGTGAGTTGCAAGCAGAAGCATGTCAACAGCAATTTTCTCAATCCTATGACGCGTTCTACTACTTGTGCGCTTGTGGCGTGCGTCATACCCGCCGTTCCGGCCAGTTGAACTCTTCAAAAACATCCTGGAAGTCCTCCATAGCGCCGTCTGTAATCAGCATGATGGCCTGGTTGCACAGACTGCCCTGACCCACCGCCGCAGCCTGACGACACGGGCGCCATACGCGTTTTCCTCCTCAAATTCATGCATTTCAACAACTGCCGTCTGTCACCATTGTGTGCCAAACCTCGTTGAGGATCTTGAATGACTCTTTCATCGCCTTCTTCACTTTGCCTTCTCCTTTGACGTGCAGCCCGTCGATCAGGAGCTTGAAGTGCTGCGCGGCGGACACCAAACGTCAGCTTTGCATTGTGGGTCGTGAACAAAATTGGAGGTGAAACAGAAAGCGTGTTTGTGTGTGACGGTGGGGGGGGGAAAGGGCACGGGAGGGATTAGCGCGGCTCCCTGGCACACTGACTAATTACAACATGGCCAGTACAACACTACTACAGATAATCTGGATTAAATACACTGTACAACCCAAAATACAGGAGATTTGCAAACGACATTTTTTTTGGGGGGGGGGGATGACTGAAAATTCCAACACATGAATCCAATCATATATATACTCCAGAAAATGTGCGTGAGCTGCCATATAAGTATGTCGAGCAACATCTGGAAGCCCCTTTTTTTCGCGGCATTCGGCCAATCACGCGTTGGCCTGGCCGGTCATGTGACGCGCTTCAAATTGTCAGCAGCCCCTCGACCTCACCTGATCTCTTATGTTGTTTATACTTGGCGCTAGAAAGTAGGGCATGCATCCAGCGTGTAACACGAGCACGCACGCACACACACACACACACACACACACATATGGTCGGGCTTTGTGGAATAATAACAACAAGAGAGCAGATGAGCGGAACAACAATGCGATGAGCTGTAGCGGCGAAGTCCGAGTATCAAACAAACAAAAAAAAAAAGGATCATGCCAGACAGGAAGCTCGAAGAGACAGGAAGTTCTCACAAACAACAGCTTGGTAAGTCGAGCGATGAGCCGTGTGTGCGCTTTTCCTCCTTACCTCTCTGTTATCCAGATCGGCTTGGACCAGAATTCCCTTGAAGCACGGTTCCAAGTATCGAACGTAGTCGCTGTACTAAAGGGGAAGCAAAAAAAAAATAAAAAACGATGGCGGTTAATATTGTCGGAACCTCATTGAATTAAAATAATAATATCGGAGACGCCGCCTTACAGCGATGATGTTGACAAAGTCATTCTCTCCCAGCGTGTCCAGGATTGTGTTGATGGTGTGCTTGGCGATGGTGAGCCGGAGCCCCTTCATGCTGCCGCTCACATCCACCACAATGACGACGTCTTTCGGGGAGGTGGCCGCTTGGATATACCTGAAGGAGGAATCCAAAGGCGGCGGCGTATTCGAAAAATGCCAGAACGGAAACGCAGACTCATCCAGTTTAATTACGAACTCGTGGACGTGAATGAGATTCCTCCTCCCCTTCGCCGGGGCAGCTGCTGCCACAGGCAACTTTCCAGACCCCTTAATCTGTTTGTTTGACTTCCCATTTCCTGGAGGTTATGTCCGAGGGACCAGACGGCGTTCCTGGAACTGATTTGATTTTCTCTTACGGGTCACGGACTGCGGGGGTCAATCAGATTTGAACTATGGGGGCTACTATACGCGATTTGCTGTTACTTTGTGTCATCGTGGTTGTATTTTCCAACAAATACAAACATTGTGGTCGTCTGCCAGCAAGACTATAAAGTTGAACTCGAGCCTCACCAGTTCCTGTTCCTGCAATCGAAGGTGACGACCCCGTTCTCGTCCGGGGTCCACTGGATCCCTGGGCATCGGAAAAGAGAGCAAAGCCGTCAGCAAACTTGCCGTTTGGTCGGACAGATTGATCGGCGAAATTGAGGTAGGGATGGATGAGGAGGCACGTTCTGCACATGTTAATTACATGCTAATTACATTCGCCCCGCGCTGAATCATCACCGGGCGTCCTACAATTGCTCGCTAAGGTTTCCGCGTTTCCGCTTCGGTGTGTGAAATCTCATCCTTCCCAAAAAAGTGTTGCGCGGTACCCGGGTACAGTCTGAAGAAGCCGGAGGAGCTGCCAAAGTACTGCCAGGTGAGGGTGGGGTCCTTCTGGAAGTTGTCCATAAAGACGTCGTTGAGAGCCTCCGACATGTATGCACCGTTGAGGATGTCTGTATCTAGAATTTAAAAAAAAAACAAAAAAGTATGAGACTCCAAATTTGTGTGACTCATGTGCCTGGGGGCTCACCTCTGTTGTAGACGTTGGTGGGCACTTGGATGTTACTCTGCTGCGTGTTGACCGGCAGTTTGCTGAAGTGTTCGTTCTTCTCCAGCGGGAAGTCCCCTCCAAGCGGCAGTGGGTTGCCGTCCTCGTCCACCGTGTTGATCAGCATCGAGTTGTAGTACTCAAACTTCGGAAAGGACACCTCAAGGTCATTTCGGAACCGTCCACATCCAGATTACCGGCGCGCTCGATTTACCTCCAGTGTGTCGTTGTACTCATGATAAAGATCAGCATCCTCGGCTGCTTCCGCTAACCTCTAACACCCCCCCACAAAAAAATGTCCAGGGTGCATGAAAAGGGTTAAATGTCATCTCAAAAGAAAGTTCTCCTGTACTTTTCAATACCTTCACGGATTTCATCTTCCTCCCAAGCATCTTCTCCATCTCCTCCGCAAACGTCTTGACCAGCTCCTCGCCGTCGACCTCCTCCATCTTCAACCCGCCCTCCACGTCTTTATATTTCTTTACGGGGTGTGAAAGGCAAGAAGGAAAAAAAAATTACGATGGTGCAAAAAAAATAAAAATAAAAATAAGTGTTTTACTGTCGTCTTACTTTTTGCAGTAATTCAGCTCCGGAGTATTTGGCGGAGAGGGACGCAATCTCTTTGCCGAATGATTCGGCCCACTTCTGCACGCTGAGCGCAAAGCAAAAGACACGAGGCACAAAATGTTCAAAAAAAAAAAAAAAGGTGTCGCGAATTGTCGATTTTGCTTTTCTTGCGTCAGAACCGTGCGAGGCGTAGTATTAAAGGTTGTGACCTTTTCGTGTCCGAGGTCACGCTTCAGCGATAGATTAAAAGAGATTACCGTTGAAGGTGACGGTCAACAGTCAGGTTGGCGATTTATTTGCTGCTCAGTCATGTTATTTTTATTTTTTATTTTTTTTTGGTGGTGGGGGGGGGGGTGTGGTAATTCTGGCAAACAAATCCTGCGCGTGAGGACCAGACAGGATGCGACAGATGGTTGGACCAATGGGGAGTCGCCCCACACGCCGCAGCGCTAAAGTTTGTCACCGCTCGGACCCGCTGGCGTCATTTCATGATGGTGATGTGTTTTTTTCCCCCAAAAAATAAGAATCATTCATGCGCATGGATTCATCAGAAATGCGAGAATGAGATGAGTAAAAATAGCGCAGCCAATGAAGGGAGCGGGGAGTTGATTTTAAAAACCCGAAAGACTTCAATTGACATCACAATGATCATATTTATGGAATGAATATCACACGTGTAGCAACGTTGCTGAATAATTTCTGTTTCGAATATTCTGAAGCTCTTGTGAGGGTGAATGAAGGAAAGAAAATATGACCAACGTTACGAAGTAGGCCAGTTTGAGTGAGGTGATGGCTGCTCACATCTCCGGTGAGATCTTCATCTGGCCGTCGACCGTCAGCCACAGCGAGCAGCACAGAATAATCCACGGGAGCATCGTCAGCCTCGTTCGCCGTGGCCCATTTCTCTGCCGCTGTCCGGCATCGCCGGCGTTTGTCTCCATCTCTGAAGACACAAAATTTCTCGGCAGGTAAGAAGCCAACGACTCAAAACTTCTTCTCGGCGAGTGACGAAATACGAAAGTTGCCAACTTGCCTTCTTGGAAGAAGCCCTCTCTACAAAACAGCTCGGATCCAAAACATCAGTTCCGCTCAAATCCGGAGAGCCAGAACAGGTGCGACGAACACAAAACGATCCACGGTGTGACACGCAGACGGCCGCCAAAAGGTCCCAAACCTTCTCGGGAGCTGCAAAAGAGACATCCGTGACATCATCGCCCCCCAAAAAACGTCCATATGAATGAAAAAAATAATCCCATAATATTCTCGATGAGGTCACATCTCAGCACACAACTCTTCCTATCATTCCATCACTTTTCTGTTCTCTTCTTCCACAAACATTTTTTTTTTAACCCCACATCCTGATGGGGTCCAAAAATCAATGAGCAAGAGAAATGAAAACAGTCTGGGATGGAGTGATGGAGGAATGGAGGGAGGACTGTTGGGACTTCCTCTCTCTTGCTCCTCACAACCAGTTTATACCATAATCCAGGCAGGATTAAACCCCTCCTCCCTCCATCCATGCCCCCCCCCTCACTGTCTCACTCTTAACACGATCTCTCATTTCTTCCTGCCTTCCCTCCCTCACTTCCATATTATTCCCTGACTTGGAATTGGCCATTGGAGACTGAAATAAATAGGAAATGGTGGCATTTTACATTTTAATGGCTGCTGTGGATTATTTTCCAGTCGTACACGGGTTTTAGGAGTGTGCCACCTTGTATTTTGTGGAGCTTTAACAGATACCAACGTGGAATTTAAACAAACAGGGACGCCTAGTGACCTCATCCGGTACTGCAGCGTGAGTCCGAACTCATCCAAACACAAACAGTCCAATCTCAACAAATCAAGCCCCAATTTGCACGGAAAGTGCTAAAAAACATTCATTTAAGAGGCGAGTTTTGCGCACATGCGTCTAACATCTGCTGGCAAATGCGCGACAAGAATACACGGCTAAGCACAAAGCAATAATGCTGCAGAAAGTGCAGAGGGCTTAGATTAATAACACTTAAAAGACCGCGTGCACTCTCACGCGGAAATGTACACACCAGCCGTGTGGAACAGCTGTGGTGTATTCCTCCTCCCCCACTGACCCAAATCCCTCACGGTGGAGATGAACACTTTCCTCCTCCTTTCAACACAAAAAGAAGATTTTTAGCAATACTGAATAATTAACCACACCAGCGAAATGATCCCTCTCCCCCAAATAGAGCATTTTAAATTCATGATTAAGCTTTCTGTAATTGAATTCAATAATATATACATATAACGCCATGTTATCTTGATCGAAATTCAATTTTATATGAATAGTTCAATGTTTAATCTTCAATTCGGTCAATGAATTTGCTGATTGGCAGAGGGTGGTCATGTGACCCAAGTGACGTCGCCTGTTGCGTCACCGATCCGCTCCACCGACCAATGCCTTTCACCTTCCGCTTCCACTCGACTCAAATCAAGATTTTACGGTTGCGCTACATCTTAGACGGTATTTCCTCTCTATATACCTAAAAAAAGCTCGTTAATCTTTTGCGGCTTGCTTTGTAAACGCGCTGACAGCTGCGGCGAAGCTAGCAGTCGCACGGTCGTGCGACGACGAGTTTAATGTTTACTCGCTAGCTGTTGCGTTCATAGTTCAGGTAAGATGTACGACGCTTGCCTTTCTCTGTCGTGATACACGGGAAGTAATGCTGCTTGAGCTCATGACTGAACTCGAGAGCGTTGTAAGCTTTGCGCTAATATGTACTAATGCCCTCCATATTTTGAAACCTTGCTTTTCATACATTTCAATGTATAAAGGTCACCACAACACGATACCGGTTGCGCAGGAATGACAGCGCATGCGATCTATTTATAAACCTAAACAGATTCGTCAATTGCGGAGTGTCGAATCTGCGCGTTTGCTTTTTGTTGTGGCTGCTTTGGGCCAGGATGGCAGCCGACCCCTACATACACACATATTTGTTTTGGTTCCCCAACCACAGGCCTCCATTGTTGTCTGCGAGAGACGCGCAAACATACACTTGGATAGTGAACGCACCAGCAGTAAAAGAGGGATGCCCCGCATCAAACTGAACGGACCACCAATCCTCTCGGTCAATGTTGGAAAACACTTAAGACATCTTTACGTCCAATTGTCCTTGAAGTAAACATTTACGCTGAATTGGCATGCACTTCCTGCTTTCCATAACATCCTGCTGAGCTTTTCACTTTCGTTCGTTCGAACATTATCATAGCTCGCATGCAAACTACTCCACAGTTACAATGCGCTGCTGTTCTCAACCTTTTCCCCTGCAGTCTCAATAATGGAAAACTTTTAGACTTTCAAGTTTCAGAAAAAAATAGTTTCAAAGTGAGTTTGTGTCCTTGCCAGATGTGGAGGTGAACCCATGGAACAGCCGTCATCTTCAGACAGAGGAGCCCCAGAGGAGCGGCGGGATGGTGTCGACTTGAGAGGGGCGGAGGGCAGAGAGGCGGGTCCTCATCCTGGAGCCTCGAGGAGGAGCAGCTCGTCCCGTTCCTCCCGCAAGAGCTTCCGGCTGGACTACCGCATGGAGGTCATCAATAGTTCACATGTGTAAAAGATGAGCCGACGAATCAAAGAATGCCCAATTTTTTTTTTTTTTTGTGATAGGAGGAGGTGACAAGGTCGTGCCGCGACAAACATGGCCGCTTTACTAACCCGTGGCCCACGTGGCGGTTCCCCTCCTACTCCACGCTGCTCCGCTTCTTTTTGCTGGACAAGAACCACAGCAACGTCCCAACGAGTAAAGAGGTACGGGATCCCTGCTCACCACATCCTGTTCGAGAAAAACTCCTTCCCCCCTTGACGCCATGTTCATCTTTCCAGGCCCTCGACAACGAGTTGCCGGTTGTGGAGCCGTACTTTGTCCAGAAGCCGGACCTGTCCCCCTCTGGTCCAGGTCTCAGGGTCACCTGGCTTGGCCACGCCTCAGTTCTGGTGGAAATTGATGGGTTGAACATTCTGACGGATCCCATTTTCAGCCAGAGGGCGTCACCGCTCCAGTTCGTGGGCCCCAAACGCTACAGAGGGCCCCCTTGTAGCGTGCAACAGGTGAAAAAAAAAAAAATTCCAGTTGTGCTCCATTTTGAAAGTTTACCCCAAAATCCCAATCCCTTGCGCCTTTGTGACCAGCGTGTCATATCTTTGGGGCTTCTTTTCAACCGGTCTTGGTTCTGCAGTTGCCTCGGATTGACGCTGTGGTCATCAGTCATTCCCACTATGATCACCTCGATGCCGGGACGGTGGCCAGCCTCAACGTGCGTTTTGGAGCGGAGTTACGCTGGTAGGTGTGGGGCGCTGTCTTTTTTTTTTTTTCTACCCTTACAAGTAATTTTTTTTTAATGTAATTACACATCAGAGATGTTTTTCTCAGTAATAATAATAATAATACTATAATGTAACTTAAAAACAATAAATGTTTCCGGTCATTATTTACCGATACCGAAAGACACTAACATGGCCGTGCTCCGCAGGTTTGTGCCCCTGGGCTTGATGGACTGGCTGGCCAAGGCGGGCTGCGAGAACGTGATAGAGCTGGACTGGTGGGAGGAGAACTGCGTCCCGGCTCACGACGAAGTCACCTTCGTGTGCACGCCGTCCCAGCACTGGAGCAAACGCGGCGCGGCCGACGACAACAAGGTGCTTTTAGCTCCTCTTTCCTCGCACTTCTTTTCGTTTGACGTCAACCACTGTCGTCCCATCTTCAGTCGTTATGGGCCAGCTGGACCGTTTTAGGTCCGGACCACCGCTTCTTCTTCGCCGGTGACACCGGCTACTGCTCGGTCTTCAGGGAGATCGGGCGACGTTTCGGGCCCTTTGACCTGGCGGCGATCCCCATCGGGGCGTATCTGCCGAGGTGATCGCCTCTCTCCACCCGTGCCGGCAGCATCTTCGCGCTTGACTTCAAATCCGCTTGCGCCTTTGCAGGGACGTGATGAAAGGGCAGCACGTGGACCCGGAGGAGGCGGTTCAGATCCACATGGACCTTGAGGCCAAACACTCGTTGGCTATCCACTGGGGAACCTTTGCTCTGGCCTATGAGGTAATCTAAAACGTCGGGAGAGGCGGCAAGTTTCAAACCAAACCTGTTCTGAAGCCGCTTTTGTTCACTCAGCACTATCTGGAGCCGCCGCGCCGTCTCCAGGAAGCGCTGGAACAAAAAGGCCTGAAAATGGAATCCTTCTTCACCTTGCGGCACGGGGAGTCTCGTCTCCTGACGTCCCTCGCTGATCCCTAACTTGGCATTTAGTGGCAGCAACAATAGCAAAAACATCTTGCTGTATGTAAAAAAATAATATATATATACTGTTGTTGTGGACATGACATGACTTGTCAAGTTGAAAGCTAAAAGCAGAAGCTGAGCTGGCTTCAGTTTCAGGCGAATGTTTTCATCGCTCCCGCTTTTTGCAAATTCTTTCGGAATTGCGCAATGGCGCGCTTACGTGATTGTATTTAGGTTTGAATGTCATTTTTCATGCTCTGGGGTCAACAATTTCGAGGTGGATGTCAAATTAAACGACTTGAATTGGTTCTGTGGTTCCGTCAGTTGTATGAATGTGCGGGTGTGCGGGTATAGAAATGGCCACTGGGGGGCAGTGTAGTGCAGCTTTTGACATGGGGAAAAAAAAAAGAACACGTTCACCACAAGATAATCAATACTGATTACTTTAATCAGACAAAAGGAGCCCAGTCTTGACCTCCACTTGATGATCATCAATAATCCAAAATGTAACTTGATTGGCTTCATTCAGGTTGGCTTAAATTAGCATGACTGTCAGTGAGGTTGAGCCATGATTCCGAAAATAGATCCACAAAGATAATGTCAACCACAACTTCAATCTTCCTTCTAAATCATCTTAAAAAAAAAAAAAAAAAGATGTCCTCAAGTCACCTGTCGGGCCACGTTCTGTCTGCTGCAGCTGCATGTTGCACCTCCAGAATGAGCTTGCGAGAAGTCCAGAAAAATGCCGTCAGGGGCGGAGCCGTGATCCACGCTCATATCCGGACTGGACGACGGGCTGGGATTGGAGCCGATGTCTCGGGCCAGAATTCTGGGGGTGTCAGACACCAGAGATCTCGGGATCTTGGGCTTCTGGCTTGAGGTACCTGTCGAAAGGATTGGATTAGTCCCAATAAGTGTCACCCCAAAATTGCACATGTGTCATCCTAACCTGAGTGGTCAGCGCTGGACTCTCCCACAGCGGCGCTGTCCTCCACGCAGGACGTCATCTCCGACACAGAGTGGCGCCGGATCCCGACGCCGCCTCCCGCGGATGAATCCGTCTCGTACTCCACCACGGGGCTCAATATGGGAACGTTGTAGCTCTTGGAACGTACCACTGGGTTCTTGACTCCGGGGGGGTTGCTTGATTTGGACAGCCCGGAGCGTTGCTGACGATCCTCTGCTAAAGAAAATGGGAAACGACTTCATGGAGATGTTTTTTTTTTTTTTAAAGGCGTTCTTTTTGTCAACCACACACCTAACACACAGGAGGAACAGTGCTGATTGGAGGAACCGTCTCGGGAATATAACCCGTGGGTCCCCAGGTAAGGAGAGACCACCTTTTGGATGAGACCCTCCAGACGCAAGTAGTCATTTGTGACACCTTTGGACTCGTGGACACCCTGCAGAAAACACAAAATGTTAACAAGTGTTTTTTTTTTTTCAAGCTCATCTTCCCATCCGACTGTATTTTGATGTCGATTTTTGAGTTTGACGATGCTGATGGTTCAGCCCCAACTAAAGTACGCTTCCGTTTGCTCAAGCTGCCTCAGAGGTCATGGGAAGACGGCCGCGCTCACGCCGAGATGACTTCCTGTGAGACCGCTCTTACGCCACAGATTGTGTTTGTCGACCATGTGTGTGTGTGTCTGTGTGTGTGTGTGTTGACCTGAAGAATGAGCAGCATCTGTATGATGGAGGGCGGCACCCGAGCGCGGGGCCGCGACAGAGCTTCGTCCAGCTTCAGGTTGAGGGCGATGATATTCCGGAAATGCAGCAGGGCCAGCTGACGCACTGACGGCTCCTTTCCCTAATGAGTATAAAAAGTCAGCACACCCCCGTTCAAAATGCCAGTTTTTTTGTGATATCAACAATGACGGTAAATCTTTTCATCAAAACAGTTGCAGGAGTCAAAACTTTCAAAAACATGTTGGCGCTGGGGTTGCGGTGTCAGACCTGCACTGGACAGAAGATGGCCTGCAGCATGGACAGAACATCGCAGAAGAAAAAGTCCCAGGTGTCAGCCAGTGAGTCCAACAGCTTCTGACCTGTCACGACCGACAAAACATCGTCACCGAAGACGTGGCTTCCTGCGGATTTTCAACACGCTTCAAAAAGGTCGCGCGTTAACTCGACATCAAAGGAGTTGAGTCAATTATTACTTTCCCCCCCCATCGCGCCGAGATAAAAGTCGGACTGCTCCTCGGTGGTTTGTGACGTGAGGCAATAAAGCAAGTTAATCGAAAACTGGAGTATGCGAGTTTCGGGTGCTTGTTGGGGTAATGTTTTACCTTCATAAAAGCGAATCTTGTCGCGCAGTATCACCATGCCTTTAGTGAGCAGCTGATTTTGGAGGTACTCTGTGAAGAAGGAGCCCAGCTCGGTCTTTAGCAGCTGCCTGTAAAAAGTGTACGGACACACACACACACACACACACACACACACACACACACAATTATCCGGGCATTTTCACTTGTGTGTGTAGTAATCAGTGCTGAGCAGGCAGCGCTGTTTGAACAGCAGCAGGTTCAGGAAATGACAAGCTCAAAAGCCGCAGCAACAACTGAGTGCTCATCACTGACAACACCGTTCTGTGTGAAAATGTGGATACACACACACACGCACGCACACAGAAAAAGCAGCACACCTGACACCTTCGTTCAAAGTGAAAAGCTCATTTTCTCCTAAATCCTTCTTCTGGAACACCGAGATGACTGCATTGTGGATGCTGAAGAGACAAAAAAATAAAAAATAAATAAGCATTTTTGGGGTTTTTTTGTGGCTTTGTAGTTGTGTTGCTAAATCAGGCTCGCCTACCTTAAGTCGTACATGCCAGATTGATAATAAAAGAGCGCAGAAGAAAAGAGATGGAGTGATGAAAAGAGCCAGAGGGGGAGGGAGAGAGGATGAGTGCGGTGATGCTTTGGTTCAGTGGCGTTTCTTTTCACGTGGCGTACAAACGACGGCACACAAAACAGCTTTTTCCTAAGCGACGCGCTCCGGGCGAGCGAGGCAAGAGTCTGAAAAGAGATCCGGTTGAAAAGACGGAGTGGCACTCGCGACCTGTTCCAAGTGGCGTTGGCCCCTGCTCTCCTCTGCTGGGTCCCCTTGTCCCTGGTACCGTCGTCCACCAGCGCCACCTTCTCCACGCCTCCTCCTGACGGCGCCTTGGCCTGCGAGAGGTCTGTCAAGCTGGAGGACGAGCCGCTGGCCAGCTTCAACCGGTTGTGGAGACTCCTCGAAATCCAGAAAGGACGAAAAAGACAAATAGATGATCGGTACGGCCAAGGATATAAAATGAAGCTTAAAAAACGTTTTTTTTGGTTTTGTTTTCGCCTTAACTCTTCTGCTTTCTCCCCATGCACCCACAGCGCAACAACAAGGCGCTCTAAAGTAGCCAGGGCACCTCAAATCACAGGCCAACATCCAATGCTGATTGTCATGTAAGACTAAAACAAATAAAAATAAATAAATCCCCTCTTCTCACTCTTCCGTCTTTTTGTCAGGTGTGTGCACTCACGGCAGACAACGAGGCACTCTAAATCATCCACACAAGTGGACTACCTGAAGGGAAAGAAGTATTTTTGGGATGTGCACGTTGGCGCTCATATTCTTTTAGAACATTGGAGGGGCAAATCATGCCGGGGTCGAGGTGCGTCATCCCTTTGTAAGCCCCGCCCCCCTCCCAAAAAAAAAAAGCAATTATCTTCAAACATGCATAATATATTAAAAAAAAAAATCACTTTAAATGGTCTTTACATGTGTTTATTATTGTGTGCGGTAGATGGAAGAACCTCTCTCTCCTCCCCGTCTCGCCACTTTCCCTTTAACAGGCGGTCGCGGTCAGCGGCCATGTGAGCTTTTTGTGCCGGGCCCGACAAAGAAAGCCTTTGAGGATCAAGTGCAGCCAAGATGCAGGGAAGAATTTCAAAGTAACACAAATGTCCTTTTTTTCACTGCTCTGCGTTGCGAAGCAAGCTGTGTTGGATCACAACAAACGGATTGCTCATCGCTCTACCGATGGCGAGATACGACACTTGCGGTGTTAGCCCAAACTTAAAAGTTGGAACCTGTTTCGTTTGAGGGAATTTGTTGGGGTCTAATTAGTAAACAAAGGAGGATGATGGGTATTTTTTTTTCATGAATGAAAGCACCGATGAGGTCACTGAGGAATGTGTGTGTACAAACAAGGACGCAGCGAAGCATGTGGTCCTCCTGGAGTCCAGCGTGACAATTTGATTTGTTTTTGACCCCTTTAGCTCGAAACAATGGCGCACCTGCACAAATTGGAATGCTTGGTGAAGTTAGCGTGTCTGTAAATTTGCATCAATATTTATCGATACTAGATTATGGTCAAGTGTGACGCAGTGAGGTTGCCCAGGCTGGTGAAGTCAAGCACGTGCGTACCTGTGTGAAAATAATGCCAACATAGTTCTTACCTCCGAAACGAGCCCTCCCGTTCCATGTTCGAGTCTGCGGCGCCTCAGGGAAGACAAAACCACCGTGGCTGACCAGCCAGCATCTGAACATGAGAATACAAAGTATGCGAGCTGACCACTAACATGTACTGCATTGCAATAAGCTGGGTAATAAAATTACTTGTATGTTTATGAAATGTAACCATTATTATAAGCACATTAATCACACACACTTGATTTTTTTGCTCATTTTCCCCCCTCAGCAAAACCAAAAAGTACATTATTTCAAAATATCACAAAATCAGCTTCATTTTAAAAAAATACACTTCACATGACCAAATAAACTAACAAGGGCATTTAGTAGCATTTTCCGCCCACTTTAATAACTAAAAATAATAATGTAGAAACGTATTGTGGTAAAAAAAATAATTGCATAAAAGTTAATTCTGAACTACATCACCTGCAAGGAGAATTCAATGAAATTCCACGAGCTCGAACATTCTTTCAACACATTCTCGTTGTCGACCCACTTACTTTTGCATAAGTCTTCGCCTCTTGTTGTTATTTTTAATCCACAAATCACGTTTAATAAGTTATAAAGTTACCAGTTACGCGATGAGGTTTTCCTTCCATCAAAAAGTACGCCCGTTCATGCGTGCGCGTGCATGACACGGAGGAGGGAGGGGCGGGTGAGCGGAACCCGGAAGAGAGGGTGGTTACCGTGGAAACGCATCGTAGGCGTGGCTTCGCTGGAATGGCGTGTTCAAAGGTGTTTAAAATAATGAAAATAGGTATACAGTGTTATGAAGCGGAGGATATGGATGATATGTAGGCAATTTTATGAGTAACTGTAGTAATAGTAGCAAAGTCTGACGTTCAAGGCTAAATGTGAGTGTCGAAAGTGCACATAACCATAAAACAACCGCACCCGTACGGTTGCAGCGGTTTCCCTCATGATATGGCCTGGATGTGCTTAAGTAGGTGTAAAAGACCGGAGCTCAAGATAAACACAGCAAATGTACACAAAACAAAAATGTGACTTGATGGCATGCGGGTGAGTGAAGGACACTCACCAGTTGCCGTGTCCACTTCACGGCCCCGCTAAAAACGGGACAATCCTCACTTCAGCCTCCCACAAACGTCTGAATTGAATGAAAGCGTATTAAATTGTGCTTGCAAGGCTTTCAATATAAGATAGTGTTCTACGATGGAACGGCCCGGTTAGGCTCATGACTGATACAAATTGTTTCAGTCATGAGCCTAACCGGGCAGAATAAGGGACAGAAAACATGAAAGAAAAATCTAGGTCGAATTAACAATGCAATACTTTGTAAAAGTATTTCTAGATTCGTACAGTGAACTGAGGTCATACAGAACATTCTCAGCCCTTTTCAAAAGATATCGTGTGAGTTTAGACCTCACCGCAGTGGAATTTTATTAATTTTATTCCAATGTGAAATATAGACAGGATATTTGAATTCTACTGTAGTACAACGTATTCATCACTTGTTTTGCTGCCGTCCTGTGGACAAGAATGGTACTGCAACTACGATGGTCAAAAACAGTGTTTCGAGCCAGAACAAAACACTTATTTCTCATTATTAAATATATACATACGCGCACACACACACACACACACACACACACACACACACACACACACACACACACACACACACACACACACAAACACACACACGCGCGCGCGCGCACACACAGTAGTACAATGTATTTATTACTTGTCTTGCTGCCGTCTTGTGGACAAGAATGGTACTGCAACTACGATGGTCAAAAACGGTGTTTCGAGGCAGAACAAAAATTTCTCATTATTAAATACACCCACACACCCACACGCAAATGTCACTGCATCGTTAAAACGTAATTATTAACCTTCTGCTCTCGAGAGAAAGAAAACATTTTAATTTGGTCTTCTGATGCTCAACAATTGTGTCCTCAGATCGAAACAGAACGGCAACAGAACGCACAGAAATGACAGCACGTAAATACCAGCGTTGTCGTTTCAGCAAGTCTTGCTGCCGTCTTGTGGACAAGAATGGTACTGCAACTAGGATGGTCAAAAACAGTGTTTCGAGCCAGAACAAAACACTTATTTCTCATGATTAAATATATACATACGCACATACACACACACACACACACACACACACACACGCGCGCGCGCACACATACGCGCGCACACAGTAGTACAGTACAACGTATTTATCACTTGTCTTGCTGCCGTCTTGTGGACAAGAATGGTACTGCAACTACGATGGTCAAAAACAGTGTTTCGAGGCAGAACAAAAATCTCTCATTGTGAAATACACACACACACCCACACACAAATGTCACTGCATAGTTGACCCGTAATTATTAAACTTCTGCTCTCGAGAGAAAGAAAACATTTTAATTTGGTGTTCTAATGCTCAACAATTGTGTCTTCAGATCGAAACAGAACGGCAACAGAACGCACAAAAATGACAGCACGTAAATTAAATACCAGTGATTGTCATTTCAGCGTCTTGCTGCCGTCTTGTGGACAAGAATGGTACTGCAACTACGATGGTCAAAAACAGTGTTTCGAGCCAGAACAAAACACTTATTTCTCATTATTAAATATATACATACGCACACGCACACACGCACGCGCGTACACACAGTAGTACAACGTATTTATCACTTGTCTTGCTGCCGTCTTGTGGACAAGAATGGTACTGCAACTACGATGGTCAAAAACAGTGTTTCGAGCCAGAACAAAACACTTATTTCTCATTATTAAATATATACATACGCGCACACACACACACAGTAGTACAATGTTTTTATCACTTGTCTTGCTGCCGTCTTGTGGACAAGAATGGTACTGCAACTACGATGGTCAAAAAGTGTTTCGAGGCAGAACAAAAATTTCTCATTATTAAATACACACACACACCCACACACAAATGTCACTGCATAGTTAACTCGTAATTATTAACCTTCTGCTCTCGAGAGAAAAAACATTTTAATTTGGTGTTCTGATGCTTAACAATTGTGTCCTCAAATCAAAACAGAAAGGCAATAGAACGCCCAGAAATGACACAGCACGTAAATACCGGTGATTGTCATTTCAGCAACTTTTATTTATTAAGTCTTTACAAATAAAGTAACAAATGTCATTGTATCTGTTTTAATATTAAGCATGAACACTCTTCTACTTAGTGCAAAACATACTGTTAAAGGCTGCCGATGACACCAACCATTGATTTATCAAATAGAGAGAAAAGAAACCACTGAGTTAGGTGCTGCTACACACATTAAAACAGCAGATAAAACAAGTGAGGATTTTTTTTTGTTTGTTTTTAAGTCAACACGAGAACTTCAGTGATTGTGAATATAATGTTTCTGTGCTCGAGACTGAACGTGACACAGCTGGAGAAAAGGAATTGACCACCTCTACAGCGAGAAAAAAAATAAAAATTAAAAAAAGTGAGTCCTGCGATGGCACACCAACAGAATTTGCCCCCTAACTATGCACTAAATGCTAATGCTACACCTGTCATCAAGACTTCACCCCACTTTAATAATGCAGGAACATTCACAATACTAACGCGTCCTTTCACAGTTAAAGTCCTCCAGAACAACTTCACAGTCAAGTCCACCTGTTGCTACTGAACACTGCAGGTTAAAAGGGGGAGGAAACCGGCTAGAAAAATGAACGAATCGAACGCACCAAGATATTAGAACTGTATTGTGGTTGACTCAAAGCAGGGGGTGGGGGAATCTTTTTCTTTTATTTCACATCTATGACAAAGTAGGATCAAAGTAGTCAAGCCGGTTTGTTGCCTAGAGCACTGGCAACGCGTGGAAAAAGTGGACACATCCCTTTTCCAATGCCATTTTTTTTAATTGCCATGAAGAACCAAGATTTAGCATCAATGTGTCATAACCTTGTTTTTCCTTTCATCTTTTAAAGAGTAAAAATGTGGTTGCGCCACTCAAGAACAGCCGACTAGAACAGCTGAAATTGATTCGGAATGAATCAGAGGCACTTTCAATGGGCGGCAGGTGAGTGCTGTTTTCCGTTTAGCAATTCGAATAGGGGTGTGTAGACTTTTTATAATCACTGTACACTACCCCGGCCCCAAATTTAAGGACGGGGCGTCGCGATTTTTATGAGCGACAGCCTGGTAGTTTAAATGCTGCACTCACCGCTTCATAACGTGTCATCTTGGGCTTCTCAGCGAAAGGCAACTTCAATTTTTTATTTTTGGATCATGCCTAAGTCAGCAATGGCGCATCACAGCACGGAGGTAAGTCATAACACATGACCAAAACACAAAACATGGCCTTCGAACAATCTGAACAGTCCTCGTCTTGAACGTTTACGTCCTCCCGCGTGGTCTTCGTTCTCCAGTGTTTGAGGGGGAGTGAAGCAAGGCACTAGAAAGCGAATTCAAACTGGTTCTTTGTACATTCACATTCATCTAACAGGGCAAGAGGGGGAGAGTTTAAAGTGTCGGATGTAAGTACTGTGGAAGAAACAACAACAATAAAAAAAAAAGTAGCTAGCATTCCATATTTGAACGAAAACATTTGGAGGTCTAATGGCGGCTGAATTGTTGTCGGTTAAGGCATAATTTTTTGAGAAAAATGGAGCCCCCCACCCCCCAAAAAAAGATTGTTGTTATGACTCCTAACACAAAATGACAATCACAGTGTTGTTTTTACACATCACACGATAATGTGTGCGTAGAACAGGTCCGCCCATGTCAGTCGTTTTTTTTTTTCTTTTTAAATAGAACAATAACCATTCACAACGACATTCAGGAGGAGAAATAATCATCTCCCACCACCCCCCAAAAAAAAGTCAACAAAAGAGGCGCTCGCACGCAACACGAAATAAAACCGAATGGAATCTTGACCCCCAAAAAATTAAAATTAGAAACTATACAAGATCTTATTCTGAAGGTCACTTTTTTTGGTGTTGGCCTCGCTCTGATGTTTTTCGTTTTATTGCTTCGATGCAGGAAGGGGCGGGGCTACCGATTGTGTTCCGATTTGCATCCTTGTGAATGCTAAGAGTGACTCCTCTATTTAGTTATTTTTAATTTTTTTTTTATTCACACATTGCACATGTTCGCTCAAAGAGCGACAAGCAAGAGACGATGAGCAAAACGGAGGCGCTCGTCAGTGTCGTTGTGCTCCCCCCCACGTTTCACCCGGGTGCACCCGCTCAAACCTCTTTGGCAAACTTCCTCTTCTTCAATCGCGGGAGTCCGATCGGGCCGCCGTTCCGACGGGCCCTGCGCTAAACCCTACGTGGTCCTCATGTTGGGTCCTCCCGGGTTGCTGACCGACTTGTGCATGAACGCGTGCAGGGGCCCCGGGCTGATCTGACCGCCCCCCGTCGAGG